GACGATAAGAGAGAATAAATGGCAAAGAACAGAGTGAAAGGATCTAATAGAGCTCCAAAATAGAAAGACAAGGAAATCAGCCCAGATCAGTGAGTAAGTCCAGAAATGGTAAAAGACATTCTCACCCTAAAGAAACATGAATCCTGGCAAATCCACACCCAAATGTGTTGTGGTACTTCAATAAAACACTACATCCAAAGAGAAAGCTATAAAACCAGTTGGAACAGAAGGCAGCTAACCCAGGAAGGTAATGACAACAATTTGCCTGATGCTATTTCTCAAGCGCTGTGAGGCCAGAGGGTGGCTGGATAATCATCTTGCAAAGGTGAAAAGGAAGATGATCAGCCTCAAGATTTGCACCCAGCTAGACTATTTTTAAAGGATTTCATTCAGCAAACAACAAAATTACATGTTCTGTAAAAATGAAGAAAATGTAATAAAGACGGCAAACATTGTTTTGATAATTTTGCAAAGAATACTCTGTAAAAATAGTAAACCAATGCAAGCCTGCTGAGTTGGAGCTGTGTTTCCTACAACATGTCTAGCTTTTGAAACCTATTTCTATGGTAGGTTTTTTTTTCTTGGCTTTGTTCTCTCAGACAATCATGTATCTCTTTCAAGGTAACTCTGAGGAAACTTTCTCAAGTGGTGGTATTTATTTTTGTAGGATAATGTTAAGGAATAAACCTTATAGCAAAAGAAGCATGTGGATTTGGCCTTGTCTTAAATTAATTGGCTCATGGATAACTGGAGGAGAATTGTAAGAAGTCCATGCAGGATGAACCATTGAATGACCCCTCATCACGTTCATAGTTAATTCATTGAGAAGGCTTCTGAGCAAGAGCAAGGATCATTCTTGTGGCAGAAGTTTTGCTTTGTGAGTCATCCTGTCCTTCCTTCTGAGGATTATGCTCTACAGAAATGCTTTTTTAGGTTTTCATTGGATTTTTTGTTTAGTTAGCAACTTCAGTGCAACACATTTCCTTGGAAAGAAGAGAAGTGTTTTGGTTCAAGTGTTTTCATCACAAATTAAGCAACTGTGTTTTGATCTTCGAGATGTAGACTATTCAGTTTTCAGAAATCTTTAGTGCTTTAATTATGGGCTTCCCAAGACCCCTTTTAAGCTAATGTCTCCTCTGCTGGGTGCTGGTTGTCAGTATTTCTTCCAGTTACACACATGCCAGGGAACACTTGGGGGCTCTTCCACGCTGTGGGTCCTATTGGACTTTAGCTCCTCCACCCTCTGGATAGTGTTAAGAACCTCCCTCCCTAGGGGGTCCTCCCTCTGGCCCCCAAGGCCATCCCCAGTGCAGTGGGTCTGATCCCTTACCTCTTTTCCTTCTAGTAACACCTAATACTCACTGCCCCATCAAAGGAATCTATCTTGCCATGTCCAACTCAACATTCTCGGGGAGAGGGGAGATGAGGATGACAGCAGCAGGGACTAAGTCATGGGACCAGTGGGCAGGGTAAGGGCTATAAGGGGAGCTAAGGGGTGAGCAGAGCTCCCAGTCACTGTCCATGTGAAAGTCTCACATCAATGAAAACCACAGTTCCCAGAAATCTTCAGAAGGACAGCTGGCAACATGGAAAGGACATCTTGAGCCACATTGAAATGAAGTTTACAGTTCTGAAGTATACTCCGCAGGTTCTATGGTGTCTTCTGATGTGTAAGAGATAAATGAGGCCTTAAAACTCAAATAAGATATATTTAGAGCAGCAGCAAGCTACACAGTAAGCTTCCTATAGAGAAGACAGGTGGAGAAGGAGAAAGTAAGTGCTTGGGAGGTGCTGCTTATGAAAGGGAGTTTCTAAGAATGTCTGTAAACTTAAGATGTTGAAAAAGAATTTGAATCAATCTCAAAATAAATAATGAGTAAGCTTTTTTTTTCCAAATCTGCCATTTGATACCCAAATGGCAGATTTTGTCTAATTAAAATTTGGATTTTTTTTATGTGTTTAATACAGGGTCTACAGGGTCTCATTGTGCAGATTGGACTCATAGTGATTCTCCTGTTTTCAGCCTCCCAAGTGCTGGGATTACAGGCACACACCACCATGCCCAGTCTCAGTCTCATTCTCAAGTGCACCTCAGGAGTAGAGCCAGCATGGCACACTGGGGATCGAACCCCTAGTCCATCATCTGCCTAAGCAGGCACTTTAATCTTCTGAGCTATCTGACCAGTCCTGTCTAATTAAAATTTGAGTTAACTGAAATTCTAATCTTGGAATCTGCCATTTTCTCTTTTCTATGTGCCCACATCACTCTCCCCTTGTGAGAAATTCAACCACACTCAAAGCACAGAGGCTGAGGTGCTAAAGTCACCAGATAGCTCTGGCTCTTTGGGACTTGGCGCGTTCCCATGTTAATGAAGGTGCCGCTTACCTACCACAGCTTGGAAAATCAGCAGTCGTTTCTGGATCTGTAGTGAGAATTGAGCACTTACAGCTTCAAAGATTGGCCTGCAGGAAACAGTTCAGGGTCTGAGAGGTGGACCAGTTGGGTTGCCATGACAATGGCCTTTCTTTGTACAGATGGGGACAGGTTTTAGCACACAGCACTAAAATCTTGGGCATATAGTACATCTGGTGTTTTTATTTTAATAAAGTCAGTTCAATGATAGGTTTATTTTTTTAAGGATAATGATTTTTAATTCTAGTTATTGCAAAGTCCTGGCTTATTACTCTCCTTTAATAAAATAAACACATGTATAAAGCATTTCCTCATAGCAGCCACAGAGGCATTAAGATACCCAGGGAGAGCCCTTGCAGGCTGGGGAAGCATGAGTGAGTTACCCGAGCCACAGCTGGGCAGCATCTGGCATGAGCACCTTTCCTCTTCAGAGAAGTGATTACACTGGAAATTATAAATATTCCTTCTTTGTGACATATCTGCTCAAATTCATGGATTTGTTGAATGACTAACAGAAAGAATGGTTCTCCACTGACAGATTTGATAAGAGGCTTCTCTGTGGGATTGAGCTGACCAGCACTCTCTCCTTCCATTGCATGGGGCGGGTGGGCAGTACAGGCGAGAGCAGGCACCTTCCCTGTTTTGTGAACACACCTGTGGGCCTGCTCTGAAGGTAGTCTGATGCCAGTGGACCAGGGTGAGGATCCAAGGTGACTGCCACCAGGCTGTGGCTTGCCTGGGACCATCTTTCCATACCCCGCCCCACAGAAATGACTGGCTATGGTAAGAACCTGGGCAAGCTTGCCAAATTCCTAAGACTTTTGTGAACATTTGCATTTTGTCATAAAATGGATGTTAGTGTTTTAGCAGAGTACCCTGGAGTGAGTGACTGAAATGACAGGGATATATTTTCTCACAGTTCCAGAGACCAGAAGCTGAGGTCCAGGGTCCAAGAGGACCAGAAAGACTCTGCCCCAGTCCCCTGTCCAGCCTCTGGGGGTTTCTTAGCCAAGGGCAGCATCTCTTTCATCTTCCTGTGACACTGTCCTTGTGTGCATCTGTCCCCTTACTAGTGTAAGGACACTTGTCAGTTGGATTAGAGATACAGCCTACCTGCCATCACTGCATCTCACCGGTGTTTCTCCAAACTCATCACATTTTGAAATACCTGGAGTTGGAACTCCAAGACAGGAATTTGGAAAATCACAAGATTTGGCTTCTGACAAAATCCAGCGCATTTTGGCATAGAGCATAGAGCAATCGTATGGCAGAGAGCTACATAATGGTGCAAACCCACAGTGCTGTCTATATCAGGGTTGGCAGAGTGGCCCTCACAGCCTCTGCCACCTGGCAGAAGCCTTAGGGCAGGACAAGTAAGTGAATGCAAGAACAGGTCATAGAAAGAGAATCAGGAAAGCTCCTGAAGTGGCTCAAGGAGCCCACTATTGCGGAGCCCTGTAGGCTGTGCCTTCCTCTCCCAGCAAGACTTTCATCCCTACATCAGGGCAGGGACTACAGTACCATGTTTCTCTGTCTTCAGAACTAAAGCTGCAGATTGTCTGCTAAGTGAAAGTGTTGGGTAGCAGGGAAAGGAGGGCTGGGCTATCACACCTACTGTGAAGTGTGGTGAACGTCAAGTGAACCTCCTCCTCCTCCTTGTGCTGGTGTAGTGGGACCATGAGGCTAAGGCTCAGACCCTCCTTTGCTCGTGGTCTGTTAGAATAACTGGTACATCCTCTGACTTCCCCAGGTCTGTCTTCTCCCATCTGAGCTGCCTTTGACATATAAATGAATGTACAAGAAAATTAACAAAGCAATTGAGATTACCTAGAGTATAAAGTGCTTGTTTTTAAGGCTTCACTGTGGTCTTTATACATTTCAGATTTGCATCTTAGCATATATAGCAAGACAATTAGTGACAGTATAAACAGAAGAAAGGTCATATAAAGGCAGGAAAATTATCTTACGTGTACAAGGGTCAGGAATTACACGGCTGGCTCTGCAGGCCATCCTGTCTCGCTGTAGAACATTATTTTAGATGGAACAGCATGAGGCCCCTCAAGCAAGCCTCAGGCCTCTCATTCATAGGCAACAGGAATAAAACCTGCCTCACTGGATCAACAGGGGGATCAGACTGCACTGGGACACTGAGGATATCCAGCCCAGAGGACTTTTCTCTCTGGATGCATCCTATGGTCATCCCTCTGTCCTTCTATCCCCAGCACTGAATGCCATTTAGAGAAGTCAGAGAGCTGTGTCTGTCTGAAAGTGAGGTTTCTTATTTAAGACAAAAGCCTTCAGAGCCGTGAGTTATCACAGAAGACAGAATGAGCATATTTCCTTGCTGGGTGGACTCAGGTAAAATTGAGCTCTAAATGCCCAGGATTTATGGAATTTGTTGCTAATATTAAAGAGATTTACATATCTGTTATATTCCTGCAAGTTTAATCTGACTCCTAAAAAATGCTCAGAATATATCGCTATCTTAAGGACAATTTGATGATTTGATTGAATTTATTTATTTATTTACTTATTTATAGAAGCATTTAGACTTTTGAGGATAATCAGTATAACTCATTCTTTGCAGTTCCTTCAGCTGCCCCTGAAAATGTGTCTGCAGAGGCTGTCAGCTCAACCCAGATTTTACTGACATGGGCATCCGTCCCTGAGCAGGACCAGAATGGGCTCATCCTGGGCTACAAGGTACATGTTATGTTGACCTTGCTGTCTTAAGGTGCTGCAGACAAGGAGCCACCAAACCAGGGCAGTGTCTGTCCCTGCCCACATCTGCAGTGCTGGCCAGGGTCCTGATTTTTAGCAGCACTCATCCACACTTGTTACAGTCTGAGAAGAAGGCATTGGTGTGACTGCTTATCAGGTATCTCCAAATTCTAAAATGAACCGGAAGTTAGACTTGGACTTACACTGTGAAGCTCAAGCCCTGACTGTGCCCTCCCTCGGCCAGATTTTTACTCTGCTCCTCTGTCTCCGCACTTGTTAAATGCAAATAAACGTAGCAGCTAGCACCCAGGGTCAGTCTGAGAAGCTAGGGGTTATTTATGAAGTGCTCCCTGCTCATGCTAAGTGCTGATAAACATGGGTAGACATTGTTTTGTGCGTGTTGTTAGGTGTGTCCTCACCTGCCAGGGTAGTCCAAGGCAGTGGTACTGTAAGCTGTCCCAGCTTCTCAGGGTTCCATCTTCCATGCACATCTCCAACCCACTAAGATCTGCTGTGTCCTGTGTACCCCTCAAGGGTGATGCATACTGTCTCCAGGCTCCCTCCTTGCACTCCAGTCTACCAAGAAGCAGAAGGAACACCATGGACTTGGCCAGGAAGGCCATACTTCCGTCATTCTCTGCTCCATGACTGAAAGCAGGCCTCCTTTCTGCTTTTCTGCAATTTGGATGCCTATTATTTGGCTACCCCAACCTGTCCTTATAAATCTTTCTTCTATCCTGAGAATTCTAATTGCTCCTCCCAGCTCCATGATGCATGGCAGGCCATCCAACATGACAATCCAGTGACAAATGGCAATCCTACAATTCATGGCAGTTCTATCATACTAACAGTGTGATATGTGGATGCCCTATCATACATGACCATGTAGTGATATATGACAGTGTCGTGGTACTTAGCAGTCCCTAAGTGAGCTCTATACCACATTGCTGGGTCTCAGTGAAAAGTGCTTGCTGTTACTTCCAGATCACAAACTATGGGAAGCAACTTAGAGAGGGTGAGCTTAGAGGGAGGATATGGGACGTAAGAGGATGTCATCCTGGGTGCTATGCCTATGGTTGGAGCTTGAGGTTCATGTGAGAACAGTCAGCTTTCTGGGATGGGAACTTAGTTTCCAGAGAACTGGGAAACCCCATGGCTTCTGCCTGCTGGCTGCTTTGTGGCAGCAGAGTATCTCTGAGTCCTTGTGTTAGCGGATGTGGTTGGCATGGCAGCAGTCGAGTGCTACAGACCTTGCAAATTGTGACCAGGCAGCCAACTTGCCAAGCTGCAGCTGTTTTAATTCAAGCCACCCTTCTGGCATACACTCACTTCATCACCATCTTCCTCCCCACATGCCAGCACATAAAAATTAGATCCACAGGCCTTCACCATAGCTGCCTTTGGTAAGGAAACTCAGAAAACCAGTGCCCACAGAGGCCTTTTCTAATATACACTGGGGCTGTAACCATTTGTGTCATATGTTGATATTTCAGATCCTGTATCGGGCCAAAGACCTGGATCCTGAGCCCAGAACTCACGTCGTGCGAGGGAACCATACGCAGTCAGCGCTGCTGGCCGGCCTGCGCAAGTTCGTGCTGTACGAGCTCCAAGTGCTGGCCTTCACCCGCATCGGGAACGGGGTCCCCAGCTCACCGCTCATCCTTGAGCGCACCAAAGATGACGGTATGTGTGGGCTCCATACTACACTGGCTTCACTGCTCCTCAGGTTCGCTTTGCCAGTCCAAACGATTTGGATTACGGTCATTTTAAAAGTAATTTTCCAGGCACTTTTTTTTCAGTTGAAGGAAACAAAACAAAATTGTTTTTCAGTCGCTGAGCATTTATATGGCCAATTTCAGCCTGGAGTGGATTTTTATAGCTAGATTATGAAGCTATGCAGAATTTCAATCGTAACTCTGCTGTGGGCAGTGCTGGTGCAAAGTGGGTTGGTTTGCCGCTCCTTTTATGGTTCTACTCAAATCTACTCTGGACACACCAGCTCCAGGGCTCCTGGGACTTCCGGGTCTCACTATTTGTACCTTAGGAGATCGTTGTCAGTTCACGCATACAGAGCAACGTGCTTGAGAGCTCCCAGAGCCCTTGTGTTTCCAGACTAAGAACATGTATGGCAGCTTTGTTTTGATGGAAGTCTAAATCATTAGAAAATATGTTTTGCCACTTTGCAGATGTCAAACCTTTAAAGGTTAGCTCCTTTGCATTTTCATTATTAAACAGACTGTAATGAACATGTCAGGGGAAATATACTGATCTCCCCAACCACCAGCCTCAGGATCAGAGGCACCTGAGAGAAGGGGGAAAGGACTCCGGTTTCCTTAAGCATCTTTCTGAAGTCTGGACCAATGAGCCCAGACACCCTGTACCTGCTGGATGGGAACTGTTCTCTCGTGGGTCTTGGAGCGCACACGAGCTTCCTTCTCCAGCTCAGGGTCACAGGAAGGGGCAACATCCAGCATGGAAAGGGGAAGCGGGATCTGGCAGGGTTTGTGGGGAGGGGAAGCAGACATCACTTCATTTCAGTGTGCACGACATTCTCACGTGCTTCGGGTTGCTACTCTAGGGAGAAGCAGGAAGGGCCAGCTGAGAAACTGCTCCTCAGCTCCGACTCCACTGTCCTTGCACTTGCTCAAAGGCACACTGCCACCGAGCATAGACATATCACTCCTCCACCTTCCTATGTGTCATGCAGATGACCAGCTTTGGCATGGCTGAGATGAGTGCAACTCAGGTGATCCAACTTGGGATGCCTTCAAACATTTTTTTTTT